TTTTTAAATACCTCTTTTTACCTTATCAACTTTTTTAAATATTGTATAATCCAGGTTCTCGTACTTTTTAGATGAATCTCTTTTTATTTACATGTTTTATATTTCTTTTATTTATTTGTTTTATATGTATCAATAATGTTATAACTATTGTAAGCCAGTCTCTTAAGACACATTATAGTGGCTGCCGACTTGGTTTTTTTTTTTTAAATAAACCAAAAAAACCCCCCCCAAAAAACAACTATAAATCGCTCTCCTCAAATCTTTGAGGAGAGCAAATCGCTCTCCTTAATATCCATGGATAAACATCGGTGAAATGAAGGATTAACATTGTTTTTGTTTTGTTTTGAATATCAGGGTTTATTCAAGAGTCTGCATTATTATTAGTTTTTGCATAATAGTATGCTCAAGTGCCGTTACTTCTTTTGTTTTTGTAACTGTAAGACAAGGTTAAAATTTATTTTAAAAAACTAACTAGGCCTAAATGGAGACTAATAAAACGTTTCACTACTGCTTATGCTTTCATTTTTAATACATTTGTCAGTTGGTTCATCACTTAATTATACTTGGAAAATGGAGTTAGTAAACGGCACATATAGCAACTGAATATTTGTTTTCAGATTGGTTAAAATTATATGAAAATTTTCAGCCTGAACTTTTTCCATTGCAGTACGAAAGCTATACAAAAAGGGCCTCAAAAATGACAAAAACTTGCCTCAAGTATTATCGAAAATATTTGCCACCGATAATCTTAAAAATAATGGAAAATGCAGGTCAAGTATACCATATGCACAATGCTAGTCACGACAAGAAACTGGCTAAAAATGTCTGAACTTCGCTTGGTACGAGCGAGTGTGATGCACTGTATGTGGTGGGCCGGCAGTGAGCCTCGTTTTACGGTATAGAGTTTTCGGTGAAACATGCTGCATCGTTTCACTTCATATACCAGTAGTTCTTCCTCGAAATAAATTCATGAACACAGGAAATACATACACAGGCAAGAGATATCAAGTTCTGTGAATAAGCTTGCAAAGATCGTTTTTCTCTATCGATGTTTTCTTGGCATTTTTACAATGTTTTTTCTGACCGGCCTGCATGCAGTGCACGCACCGCCCGCGACTATTGCATTGACAGGTTACCGTATTTCCATCATGCCTTCTTTGGCCCTTAGTGCGCGGCGCAGCGGGAACCAGTCACTGTTGCAATAGCACGTACGGGCCCACATGTTTTCATACCGGTACATCGATACAGCTCTATGCAGCGATATGCACACGTATGCAGCCGCTGTACACGCACAATCTTTGACGGTATGAGTTCAGTGTTCATTCAAAAAAAGGAAAATACGGCGGAATAAACGTGAGTTTGGGCATTATACAAACGAATAATGCGTGTAGCTAAAGACTTAAAATCCTTGGCGTTTTTATCACTTCTTATTTTTTAAACTTCCAGTGTTTGATAAGCCCTCTTTTGGATTTTTGAGGAGCGCTATTTGTTGCGCTCTTTCGAGACAGTCGAAGAGCGCAGTAGGAGCGCTCCTTAAAAATGAAGGACTGTAGCTGTAGCTCTGGGAGCACGTGCGGCCTGAGGTGCCCGCCGGACGTCACGTTGGCAGCCATGTTTATTGCATGGCCTCATGGGATTCTTACCCAACTAACCGGCTCGGCGCGTCGGTCACTTGGGCCAGGCTCGAGTAAGCGCGAGAAGTCACGTGAGAGGTAAATCGAACGCTGTCGCGCTTGCACGAGTAAGCGAGGGGGAAGTAATTGAACGCACTCTATGTTTAGACCATGCTTAATCATGGCTGCCATTCAGTCATGACATTTCTATGTTGATGTAAATAAAAGATAGTGAGTCATGTAAAGCCAAGGCAAGTCCGCAAAGACCCAATCCCTTCCATCCATCCATCCGAACTTGGTAATGGTCGGATAGACCGTTACACAGTTTACCCCTTAAAATTACTCTTCCCTCATTACAAAGCCCAACACAAAATTTCCTAATGCTCATCAAACTTTAAATAGATACGGAATAAGGGGGAAATACGAAAGACGGCGAGTACTCAGACTGGGTGAATGTACACTCAAGCGTACCACAGGGTACATTCTCAGGACCGATGGATTTCATCGTTTACATCAATGATTTGCCAGATAACTTGTCCTCAAATGTGCGTTAATTCGCAAGACGATTGCATTCTGTATAGAACAATAGCTGGTCTAGAGGACGCTAGAAAACTCCAAACATATCTTGATGCACTCGCCGCTTGGCAAAATAAATGGCAAATGGAATTCAACGCCCAAAAATGCTATGTGCTTAGAATATCACAAGCCAGATCCCCACACAAGAACTCTTACAGGTTAAATAATGCGGAATTGCAAGAAACTCCAAACCATACTGTACTTACCTACCGGTAGGTGTCAACATCACACAAGACCTCACATGGCACTCACACATCGATGGAACAACAGCCAAAGCTAACAAAACTCTGGGCTTCCTACGTCATATCTTGTACTCATGCTAAAAAAATATCAAAGACATGGCGTACAAGACACTCGTACGGCCAATACTTGACTACTGCTCTTCTGTGTGGGACCCACACACAGAAATCCTCACCGACAAGCTCGAAGCAGTCCAAAATAGAGCAGCTCGGTTTGTCACAGATGTATACAGCAGAGGGAGCAGCGTCACTGCCAATAGAAAGGATCTACACTGGGAAGACTTAGCTATTAGGCGGAAAATTGCCTGACTCAAGAACTTCCATCAAGCACTAGGGGGTCGCCTCGCCATTCCCGCAAGAAACATCCTGCGCCCGGTCCAACGGTCTACCAGACAAACTTCACCTACCACCAACTTCATACCAATCCAAGCAAACAAAAACTGCTACAAGCAATCATTTCTCCCACACACATTAGTGGACTGGAACTTACTGCCTAAAGAGATTACAGCAATTCAGGATAAAGGAAGTTTCAAATCTGCCATCAACACTCACTTCAAGACTGTGAGAAAGATGAAACCAAGTCAACCAAGTAAACAGCAAAACAACAAATCCATGCGCACAACCAACCCTGCCCGTGACCCCTGAGAAGGGGTGTTGGTGCAGTATTCATCAAGACAAGACAAGGCCCCTGTTTTGTTTCAATCAAATTAGAATCAAGAATTTTTTTATTTCTAAAAAATGTCATTGTGAACCTATAAGCATACTTCTCTCAATGTTTTGACACCTTTTTGGTAATTTTTGAACAGTTTCTTGGGGTAGAAATTAGATTTTCCTATGTGGTTGACGGGTCGGTTGGTGCCGTGCAGCGCGATTTGCGTGCTCACGTTACACAAGGTACATCTTGCGGTGATGGACATCTTAATTTTTGTGCTGCGTTTTGTCGTTGTCATCATCATTGTACCCCCAAATTACCCTCAAAAATTCAAAACGCTGCCCTTTATCTATGATATGTTCTTAATGTCGCCAACTAATTTGGTTGGTCAAATAATTTGTAGTGGATTTTGTTCCCTTATAGGAATCGGGCCCGTAGATACACGATCGCCTAAACTAGGTTGTTACCCTTATTATCAAACCATGAAACCTCATACGTAAGTAATGAACAAAAAGAATAAAGGAAAAGTTAAAACAATATTCATGAATACCCAAGATAGTTTACCCATTCCTATTGGTCGAGAGCCCGTTACGTGGCCGGTCTTAAACGGATGATAAAGACATGGCTGGCCGGTCTTAAACACTTTTCCACTGTCACATGAAATTTGGACTCCTAAAAATCCAGTGCCTCTTGCCGTTTTATTGGTTGAACGTTCACAATCCTCACGTAGACATGCGCAATACTACCAGCAAGTCAGAATTTCATAAAGCTAAATTCACAACGCAATGTCCCAGTTGCATTCTGCGCGACAGACGCACGCGCCAATCTCGATAAAAGGATTTGTTTACATCTTACTTGTGTGCCGGACACTCCATTATTTAGCTAGAGGGGTGTTTCCAAAAACATGAAGTGAACTTGTCGAACAAAATCAGGTTTTTTTTACCTAAAAGTTTGAATATTTTTTTGACCGAAAAGGTATTTATGAATGGGAATAAATATGTGCTTGGTCCGTATTAATCACTCTGTTTAAGACCGCGTGGAGTCTGGGTGCTGATAATTACCCAAGCCAAAAAGTTATCAGCACCCAGACTCCAAATGGTCTTAAACAGAGTGATTAAAACCTCCGAAACACACATTTATTCCCTTAATAAGGAATCCACAATCCTCACTTCAACTTGAATTGCTTGAAATCAAAGTAGTTTTATCATTACTATAAATGATATCTGATAGGAAAGCCTATAAAAAAAAACCTCTGACGCACATCACTCTTTTGCAAACTAAACGTTGAGTCAGTGGGAATGCTTGAAATGATCATATGACCATATTTGCATTGTATGACCACAGAATGCACCAAGCATGGTCCAAAGAAAAAGAACGTCAAACTCCACTATTATTCTTAGATTCAAGTTTTATCTGATGTCTCTTTTTCTGCATTTATTAATGCACATGATTGCCGTGTCGTATATTTTTGGTTAATCTCTTGCATGTGACCAGTCACTCTCCTAATTATCGTACTTACACATGTACTACCAACGAGTCCATATTTCATGGCGTTGGATATTCATGCTACACCGTTATACACAGTGACACTGATACCACACAGTATGAATTGGGTTTTCCCCCCTTGACTAATGTAGTGCATGAAGTTGTATGCATGACTTCAATTCTCCATTTTGATTTAACTGTCCTCAGCTTTTTAATATCAGTTTAATTGGAGCAAGTTAGAACTTCTTATTTGGGGCCAGTTTTCAAAGCAAATAAAAATGTGTACTTGGTAATATGTGAAATGCACGTCAACTGCAGCTAAATAATATGAACAAAATTGATTGTTATTTGATGGTGTAACAGGGTGCGTGCAGTTGTGCATTCAGCATTGTTAGACAATATTGATATAGTTTATGTACATATTTGTATCGGCAGTGTCTGCAAGGAAGACTCGTGATATGATCTACACTGATGTGACTGGCTTTTCTGCTTGTGTCAGGAGATTCAATGCTACTCACCAAATTGGATGCTCAAGTAAGCTTTACATTTACCAATCACATGAATGCTAAAGAAACTTAAAATTGAAACGCAGTTTGGAACTAAGCATGCGTGTAGCAGTACCTAAGGTTCCCAGACACTGACTCCAACAATTTTAGAAATTCACTTGTGCTGGCAAAAGTGATTTGCCACACTGAAAATAATGATCACTGCTTAAAAATAAAATACTTTTTCAGTAAGGTAATTACAGCCCAAGGAAACTCAAAAGTACATCAAAAATGTAACGTGAGTAACCGTGGAATTGCCCTTCTGATTTTGTTCTTATTTTTTTCTTACCTTTTCTTTTTGTTCTAACCCAAATCCCATAGACTTTGTACATGTTTTATTGACCGCGGCACTTTGGACCTAGAACAAACTCGTATTCTAATGAAACCTAACCTATGTAAAGACCCCATAGTGAGTTTGTGTCCCGAAGAGTGACGTCATGATTACGTCGTCATGGGTCACGTGACGTCATCTTAAATGTGCAAACTTTAAGACCCTATATCTAAAGAAATGTAAGTCGGATTGGGTTGAAACTCGGTATGTAGGTAGACCAGGATGTGTTATAGGTAAAAATTGAGGTGACGTCATCATGACATCATCGTGTGAATTTATATTGATTTTTGAAGTTTTGGACATTTAAGCCATATCTCACGAACGCAATATACTAAATTAGAAATTCTTTTTGTATTATGTTTGTTAGGTAACAGGTATATTCACAAAATTGTGAAAATTGTGTGACGTCATTATGACATCATTAAAATTGCGATTTTTTGAAACGCATACATGTATAAGGGAATGTCCAATTGTCATGAAACTTAGTGGTTGGGTAGATAACAGTACTAGTACACAAAATCTGAAATGACGTCACGATGACGTCATCAGTAGATTTTTTACGATTTTTGAAATATATGTACAATTTTATTCTGCTTACAAAATTTAACACTTTTATTCATCTGATTGGCTTCAAACATGCTAAATTCAAAATTCTTTTTTTATTAGGTTTGTTATGTAATAGATATCTGCACAATTTTTTGAAAAATGTGTGACGTCAAGATGGCGTCATCAAAAATACGATTTTTAAAAACACTTATAAAAGTAAAGCCGATTGTCTTGAACTTGGTGGGTAGGTAGATAGTGTTTTTTTAATTTATCAACTTTTTTACATTTTCTTCTAATACAAAAAGTTGACAAAGTTTTTTTAAAGTATTTCTTTACAAGTATTATTTGAAAAATGCGGAAAAGCCTATGTCCTGTTCATCGAACAGGCATAGCTCTAGTTTTAAATTTTTTTTTTTATTAATCTCCTCTGAATTTTAACAGAAAATCTACCTTAACTACCCCCAGATTTGCTCTAAAATGCACCAGAAAACTTCTAAAGTTAACAATTTTCCCACGCCTTAAGGGCTTCGCGCTACGAAGGATGTACCGGTAACTGGGCAAACAAGTAGCAACTTCAGTAGAGTGAAGACTAAGTGGAAACACAGCCAGAACCTCTTTGGACATTTCCCGGTATGCTGTCTTTGCATAATGCAATGTCATGAATGTGGGGGCTGAAGTGGTGTGCTTGAACATATCAAGTTGTACTTTCAGTGTGGACATGTTCAGCTCTGGGTAGCGTCAAACTGGTGAACTATTAAACTTTCCTGTGTCATCATCTTTTCCAGCGCCAGATATTCAGAGAAACCGAACTTCTCATGGTCAAACATATCTGAAAGGTTTACTTTCCAGAAACTGGTAGTACTGTGTTCAGTAATACTCTAGAACATCAGGTGCCTGGCTGCTGTACCATGATGGTGGCTGCCACCGACGTGGGAGACTTGGTTCTTCCAAGTCATATTCCTTAGACTTGCTGACTGCTTCGCTGAAGACTTCATGGAACGCGTCTTCACATCGCCAGTTGTGTAACTGCTTGGTGGTGGTTGTGACAGCGTACAGCATAATAATAATAATGATAGTAATGATAATAATAATAATTCTTACCAATGCTATAATAGGGCGACACTCCCATAGACTTGTGCACAAACCTAAACTGTCGCCTAACCCCAGTTTGCCTAATCTTTTTCCACGAAATTCGGTGTTTAGGCTAATTGGACTACGAAGAATTGATCTGGATGGGTCGCGACAGTAAAATTCCTTGTCCTAAGGGTCGTTTCAACAATAGGGCAACACCAAATTGTCACCCCAATAGGGTGTGATGCCCCAATCGAGACGACACTTGAGAAATCTGTCGCTCTATTGCAGCAATTCTAAATTTAAACCAGACTTATATAGCACATAAAGCAATGGCATCAAAGCACTTTACAAACTTAATTTTTAAAAAAACCAATACTACAAATACCTTACAAAATTACAGAATAGTAAACAACAGCATTATGTTGAAAGTCATGAAAACCCATTGACAGGATATAGGCCTACGAGAATAAAAAGTAGTTAAACAACAAGTTAAAAAACCTGGATTGCACATAGAATCAGTTTTTATAAGTCACACACTGTCTTGAACAAATGTGTCTTCAGATGCAACATGAAGTGATTTATGGTCTGTGGACTGCGAAGGGCAAGAGGAAGGCTTTGAAGCTTGTTAAGTTCTCTGTCCGGCAGTCCATACAGGATACTGTTACAGTTGTCAAGTCTGGAGGAAATGAAGGCGTGAACCAGCTTATCGGTATTTTTTGCATCGAGGTAACGCCGCAGATTATTGTCGAGAATGTTACTGAGGTCGCGTACTGTCTTAAGACGGAGTTATAGAAGCATTTCCAAAGTTGTATTTGACATTGGTGTCTTCCATAATATGCCTTGGTGCCCTTTATCATTTGCCTTGGTGCAATTTCCCCATTCCTTGGTGCTCCTTGGTACACAAATTTGAGGAGGTGCGGCAATAGAGGGCGCTGTTGTAGCTTCTGTGTTAATTTGAAGAAAAAAAAGTTGACGCGCATGATTAAAATCGACGCGCGCGCTGACCAGAGACCGAGTATTTTTGGGGGGGGGGGGGGGCCTAACATACTGTTTTTGGTTCTCCAAGTAGCTTGAGAACCACCGGTGAGCTTTTCCTGTGACACCATATCTAGCACTGAGTCGTTTGAGCAAGATTGTATGGTCAACGGTATCAAAAGCCGCGGAAACGTCTAATAATACCAGGACAGCTTCACCATGATTATCAATAGCGTGGAGCAAGTCATTTGTCACACGCACTATTGCAGTTTCAACACTGTGAAAACGTCTGAACGCAGACTGATTCTTCGTGTGGAGATCATTATCATTTATGTAACCTTGGAGCTGATTGATTGCTGCGCACTCGATAATTTGCCCTACGATCTGGAGATTCGACACAGGCCGAAAATTCTTCAACTCTTCCACAACAAGATTGGTCTTTTTCAGTAGAGGTGTGACAAATGCTTCTTTCAGCTTGGCTGGGAACTTGCCAGATTGCAATGACGTGTTGACAACTGATGTTATTGAAGGTAACAGCTCAGGTAAGTAGTCCTTGACCAAACTACCCGAAAGAGGATTCAATGTACACGTTTTCACACAAGATTTGTTGATGATGCTGAGGGTTTCATCACAGTCTAACAGCGTGAAGTGATTGAAATTTGCTCTCACACCCAGTTTGTGTCCCGATATCTGATCTTATATTAAGAGCATCAGCAGACATATCCAGCGCAACTCTGATTTTCCGGATTGTTTGATGGAAGTACTTTCTGAAACAATTGGCTAAGTCTGTCTTTGAGTTGTGGGAAGGGAGAGTTTTCGAAGGCTTGAACACCTGAAAGCTGATTGACAAGTTTGAACATTTGACGCGAATCGCAAGCGGAGACCTGAGCATAGTGGTACATGTATTCAGTCATTACTTTGTCAAGATCTTTCTTATATTGTTGGCACTGATTGCGAAACGCAACTTGGTCAACAGTCAGTTTAGACTTCTGCCGCTTGGGCTCAAGTTTTTTCTTTTCCCTTTTTGATGCACGAACAGAAACAGTATACCAAGGGGCTTTCGGATGTAACAAAATCTCACGGGTCTTAAGGGGAGCATGTCTGTCCAAAAGATTGCTGAGGGTACTGTTGAATGACTCAACCATCTCATTAACATCGTCAGTCATGTTGTCACTTAACATGCTCAAAGAGCTGGCAACGTCCTCACAAAAAATTGTGGAGTCAATGGCATGAAGCTGGTGAGATTTGATACTATGCTTGGTAGGTGGGGGGCGAGAAATTAAAACATCGCCCATTACAGCAGAGTGATCTGATGGAAGATCATGTACAACTGAAACATTTGATACAGTATCAAGAGAATCACGGGTGATAAAAGATCCAATACATATCCACCTCTATGAGTCGATTCACATACATGTTGTTTCAGGCCGGCAGAAAACACAAGATCTTTCATTGTTTTTGCTCCCTTGTAATCAAGGTCAGCCATGTGGATATTGAAGTCTCCAGTTATAACCAGGTGGCCCGGAGCAAGTGTGGTTAGTTCAAGCAGGCAAGAAAATTCATCAAAGAATTGTTTGTTTAGCGAAGCTGAACCAGGTCTATGAACAATAAATAGTAGGAGTGCATCTCAACAACTACTTGAAATAGAGAGTTCCAATCATTCAAATGTTTTGAACATGTGAGAAGCAGTTTTGATATCATAACCTTTACGCGCGATGACAGAGATACCGCCACCCGCTTTGCCAGTCCTTGGTAACTGGTTAATAACATAGTCAGGAAGAGTTGTGTTAATGTCAGCGAGGGCTGGGTGGTCTCGCTCATCGCCTTTGAACCATGCCTCTGTTATAGCTAAAACATCTAAGTTCTTGTTGATGATAAAATCACACACATCAGCATTCCCACACACAAAAAGAAATAAACAAATAGAAAGGGCAAATTTTCAAATTAAGGCTTGGCTAAACAGAAGGGAATGTCACAATATACGTGGTTAGGATAATATGGGTATTTTTTGACATTTTACCTTAAACTTATAATTGACTCCACTTGAAACACACTGTTCAGTT